ATCCTGCCGGATACGAACCTACTACCTTACCCTTACGATTCATCGACTTATGTCACTGAGGCATAGTCGACGGCCACGAAAAGCCATGGCTAATATCTAAGAGCGATATAACTCGGCTCATTCTTTACTGTCGCATATGTTATTAATGTACATTGGACAGGGCTGGCTCCCAGAGAAACGGCTTCGGTGCAAACCGCCACCAATTGAGGTGTCATGTAAGTTGTTAGGTGGACTATTGCTTATTCGAAGAAGTAGGGGGATGTATTTGACTTTTTATGTTTCCCGGAGTTAGAAACAAGCAGACATACTGAACAAATGCGGGAGAGCGCTAGACGGACGCTTCGACGTATTGGGACTGGTCAGTATTGCGCACAAGCCGAATTCTACCGGGTTCCAACCCTTGACATTAATCTTGTGAGACAACGACGTTTGACCCTGAGCCATGTGCGACGGCATCGGTACGCCATGACTGATATCCTACTGCCTTATTGCGCAGCTCAACATTCACTGTCTTGCATTTAATGAATGTGCATTGGAGAAAGCTGGCATTGAGAGCTACGAATTCCTTTGCAATCCGCCATGAGTTGTGGTGGCAGGTAAGATGCTAAGGCGACTGCTGATTATTTTTAAGTAGTAGAGGCTTGTTAGGCTTTATGCAGTTTTGTCGCAGTTGAACATAACTAGACAACCACCACACATGCAGAAAAGCGCTCTCAAGCGTTTCGAGCTATTGGGAGCCGTCTGTTTCACGCACCATCCCAATCCTACCGGTTTCGATCCCAAGACCATACTCTTTCGGGTTAGCGAAATATGTTACTTAGCCATTTGCAACAGCAGCGGACCGTCATGACTTTTATCTAACTCTGATATAGCGCGGTTTATCCTACAATAACTTGCATATTATGAGTGAGCAGAAGATACGGCTGGCCCACAGAGCAACGTCTTCCTTCGTAAGCAGGTTGCATGTCGCCTCGGTTGATGGCGGATTGCAAAGAATGTCATTGCTCTGTGTGCCAGGCTTTTACTTTTGCAGACGGATGACATGCAAGGCAGTGGAGGATAACCGCCTTATATGGCAGTTAGATATCAATCATGGCAGTCCGCTGATGTCGCCCATGGCTCCGTGACTTATTTCGCTGATTCGCAAGAGTAAGGTCGTGGATACGAATACGGCAAGATTAAGCGTTTGCGAGTTGCAGGTGAGTACCACTAGGATGAAACGGCCGTCTAACCCTTGCCTGGATATGTGGTGTCTGTCTGACAGTGTTTAACTTCCACCGACCTAACCAAAAGGACTTATAAACCCACCTACACTTTACAAATTTATGTGAGATTTTGATATCTGGATGGAAATTACTTTTTACTCAATTTCGCTTTTATTGTTAGGCTGTCAACGTTAGCCGCTGATTCATTTAGGTCTGCTGCGCAATGAACATGCGAGTAGGTAATCTTATGCAAAATAGTGATTAAAATAGTTTTGCTTGTGGTCTGATGCATTGTTCCATTTTTTTGAAAGCGGTTCATGAATCCACTTAAGCGTCGTTTCAGCAGACATTATACCTGCTTTCTTAAATTCAGTTGTCTCTCTTATTAGTGACACTGCTTATGGTAACATTTTGCGCTATTCTAGTTTAGACTTACGCCACTGCGCAAACCATTCTGAAGGTCGGTCGTGTCTAATGACAAATGCTTCAGTTACTTCAGTGCTTCCTATCCGACACATTAAACACTTAAGCAAATAAACACTTAAATATACGCATACGCTGTTTACATACTTCAGTGAAAGTCAAGGAAATATAGTTCTCAGCAATAGTTGGATGATGAACTAGAAAGCGGATTAGATCAGCGTAATTAATTTCTATAATTAGAACCAGTGTGCTAAAGGTAGCCAAATATGCAAATCAATTCCAGATGTTTTAATTATCTTTATTCCATCCTGTACCACAAAGCATTCTACGTTGTCCTGTGTGGTGCAAGGAGTGGAATTATTACCACTTATTGCGAACGCTGTAGCTGGGATGGTGATATCTTTCCTTCTCATGAAATGTGTGGTTACGGTTGACATTATATGAGAATGTTCGCCTCTCACAAGATTTGTGAGAGACTGAGAAGTACAGAAATGAGACGAAAGTGGGCAAAACTTAGAGGTTACCACAAGCACCATGTCAGTTAAAATGCTTAACTTGACTATATACTGACAGCTAACCACGACATTATGAAATAAGTGAGATGGAACAAAGTATTATGCAGTTAGAGTGGCAGACTGTGTCTGTTTTTCCCGGTTAGGATGAAGGGGGTAGGTGTACAAAACGTACCCGCTACCAGTTTCACAGCAAGTTCATCCAATCGGGTGGGAGGTAATGCTATAACATTGACCTGCTTTGAATTGACACCACTGCATTTACTGTCGTTGTCAGTTGTAATCCGGTTGACTGTCCGGAGTGTTTAGCGTGGAAGGGCTACGCAAATGACACGAAAGCAGGATGTATCGAGCGTCGTCGATCGAAAAATTTGGTCATCAGATGAGATGGGCCAGTTTTGGCAAAATAATCTGGGTCTTAATCATTTATACTCTTCAAATGTTTTAAGAAACTAAGATTTCCTTCCCTTCGGTGGTTTTCAAAAGACGATTACGAAAAACGTTCCCTAAAGCGGGCTGATAATGAGGAAGTGGAAAGACGCAATGCCTCGTTTGTACTTCTACATAGATTATGTGTTTTCTGTCACTTTACAACAACAGGTCTACAGCGTATAAGTTGCCACTATGTTGGCTTGGAGCGCGAGCGTCTTGCATTGTCTCTGACGATGAGAGAGCACCTCCGGGTGCTTAGTGGTACGATACTGCTCATCATAAGTCAAGCAGCCCCTTGTCAAATTAGTGCAAATTCGATGAAATCCACCTGCATCTGGCAGTGGTCGCAGAGGCGTATAATTCCACAGTGGCTAAACGTATGTGTGTTATTCCAAATCTTCTGTCTGAGTGAGACAGACCTCAATCAAATCTAAACTGTCTCAGCAGTCACTTTTTATAGCTGGATCTGAGCCCCAATACCTTTGGGTTAGGCTATTGATTCAAAGTCTCCTGGCGGAGCCCCTCAAGCCAACTTCGAAACCACCCTCTGCCTTGTGCGTAAGTTTATGTACCAAAGATTCGGGCGGTGTCCTTTAAGCAAATCGCGGAAACACAGCCAAAACCATGCGCGTGATTGCCTACCAATGCATTCGTATTACTGCGCTCAAAGAGTTGAAAACGGTGTGTTGGAACGTGTGCATCCGAAAGGCCGGGAAAGCCAACGAGCGACCCAATCGAGGCGCGACACTGGTGTTGATGAAACTGGCGCGCTACAGCATCGATATTACGGCGTTCAGTGAGGTACAGTTTGTCCCTGCCTACTACAGAACGGCGTAAACAAGCATTTAAGTATAGCAGGTTTGCAACCACCGGTAGTTTTGCTTCTTCAGATGTGTTCATGTCTGCTGCGGCTATCACCTGAGGCTTCCTTGAAATACCTTTTCCAATTTCCCGCCATGTACTTACAATAGCTTTGCAGATTCCTCTGACTGAACCAAGGGTGTTGTATGCGTTTCCGTACATTCCATGATTATGGGATAGCAATTGCTCGATCACAGTATCAAACTGCAGTGATTTACAAATGATTTAGCATTATCCTAAACCTTTCCGCTCTCTTGTTTAGTGAAGGAAGGAAGCTCAGGCACGTCATGGATAAAGTGTATATCTACGCAATCCTGCTCGATGTGTGCTTCCGAAATGTTGCTTTCATATGTTGCGCGCTCTGAGAATCTTCATGTTTGAGGCATTTCTCATAGCGCCTCTGCTGTAAGACACTTTCAGACAGTACGAAATTTTTTACCGCAGTAGCTGTCTGCACTTTTTCATAATAAACTTGTTTTATTATAATGCGAAGAATTCCGACGACAAGTAACTAGTAAGAATTTGTGAATTTGTCTATACGGTTTATCAAAATGCACGAAGAGTTCACTGGCCTTGGTTATCAGACAACCTATCTCGCATTGTGAACTTGTTAGCATCGAGTACCATAAAGCATAAGTAGCAATTAGATTGTCAATGTGAGATGATTTATTTTTGAGCTGCAAGGCCCGAGGATCATTAGTCTTGGCTTCATGCCGAATAGTCTTTACGCTTTGTCCGTCTGTTTGCCGGTATCGGGAAGTTTGACAACCTAAATTACTTTTGTAGCCATCTCTGTATATTGCCAAACGAATTAGCATTTTTCAACCCGACTAGTGAAAAATGTATTTTGGATGCAGAAGACTCATGTACGGTTGCACCGTGCTTGTTTACGATTACACTGCTTATGACTATAACAACCTGATTGATAGCAGGTTTTGACTAGTAAATCATCTCCGTTTTCATTGATAGGTTTTAGTAACAGAGCTCCCGTCCAATTTCGGCTTACTTTCTGTCATAGTTGAAAGATAAAAGGTCAAGATAATCCTTGCTGCTCCTGGTTCGGGTAAAGCGAAATGTGCACCACTGATATGTTCAGAGGTCATTACGCTTTCCTGAATCATAGAGACATCCGATTATTTAATATTAGACGTGCAGCTTCAGGTTCTAACCGGACGCAAAGCTAGACAGCTATAAGCATTCACTTGACGAATAATTTGCTCAAACCCAAAATTCTAAACCATGGGACGTCCTGGGAACAGTGTCCTACTCTTAATTTTATTTGAAAATGTCTGCACACTTCGTATTATAGCATTTTTCACAGTGCGAGCTTGCTAACATTAGTTGAATAATCTACAATCTCCTCAGGATGAACAGGCACCCTTCGTTTGATCCATCCTCTATTCGCATCTACTTGCTATTTGCTACTTGGCACGATGTCGTCACGTGACTTAGTTTGATGTCTTTTGTTGCGTGCTTTCTTTAATTTGATCCGTTGCTTACGCTAGTCAAATGTATACATATATTATATATATGTGTACAAATGTGTTGATATTAAATCATAATCCAGCTGGACACAATAAGAAAAAAGACATGAGATGCAACTAATATTATAGTATACATTGATTTCGTAGAGAAAATGTTTTTGCGTTTAACATGAATCAGCACAAAAACCTTTCTTTCCAATGTACGGTTTTAATATTGATATTCTCGTGTAGCAATTTGGAGTTTAAGTTGTATATTAGTGAGGTCGTAACCAGTTCCTGTGGTTTGATTTTCCAAGTCATCTTTGGTTAAATTGATTTTGTCCGCTTCATCCGACTGGAATTGCAATGTAAATTCCGCTTCCAAATATCCTCTGAGTGGACCAGTTACAACGCAAGTAAAGTTCTTGTAGCGCGAGATTTTATCAGTATTCGCCATCTTGTCATACTAAGTAATAAAATACAAGCGACGAAAGTTCCATATACTCACTAGCGTGGTAACTTAATAACAAATTGCTACTTTGACATCTAGTTTTGCGTTATATATTTATAGTAACTTGACTACTTTGTCACATGTTATAGATATTTGATCTAAAAGTCAACCTATATGTTATACATGAATATTCGTAAGTAAGCAAGATTATGAAATGATACACCTGTAAAATTCAAAGGCAAATGTAGCCGCACATACCGCAATGATCAACCTCCAATCAACCTACTGTACCGTGTCAAAGATTTAATAGCAAACCTCCAAGCTTTTAATTTAAACCAGTTGGTACACATACAGCTTACCTGTGCATATCGTGTCACATTGAATGTTATTAGGGTTCCGCAAAATTAGATTTTACCATACGAAGGAACGCGACTTGTCACATATTTCATTCAATTTATAGAAATTAAGAGAAAGCTACCAACAATGGAACATTTTAAGTAAATTGAGATGTGAATTAAGTTGCACATGACATGTTTGCTATTTGAGTAAAGGATACAGTGTTTTGTAAAGTTTTAGAGTGGCCCGAGTAGGTTATTTGACCAGCTCCGTATTTAAATAATCGTTAATCACCACAATGAATACCGCAGCGAAATGTTTGTAGAATGAACAAAAATATGTTGCTTACATTCGAGCAGGTCGTCGCAGCTATATGCATCACCTCAGTTGCACTGCCATATGCGCTGAGCCATTCGCCAGTTAAATCATCTCCGACGAATCGCATGGCAATCCGGATGACTAAATTGGTTTGAACATATTGGCAATGCGAATGTAACAATCTAATTTATTTCACGTAAAATTGTAGATGTTTCCTTTATGTTGCAAAAATACCCTTGTTTAGCAGTGTTTAATATGTTAGTGCACGTGTGGGATTGTGCGTTTCTCTTAGTAATTATCCGTAATGGTTCACCATGCATAATACCTTAATGTAAATCACTGACAGGTTGAGCAATGTATTTTATCACTAATGGAGGATTCCCACTAGAAATACGCGAGATCACGCGACATACAATCACAATAGTAGTCAGCTGCGTTGAACTGCCCAATCTAGTGAACAACGTGCGATCAGTTGTGTAGGATTTTTGCGCCAGTTTTAACGGAGTGAAGTCTGTACGTTTGCTGCTGCAGTTGTACACACGAAGTACAGAAAAGAGATAACATGGGAAGAAGTGGATAATTCACTTAACTGTCGGTCTAGCTGGCATTAATTGCTATGCATGTCGGTATTGTAGGACAACTTACTTGCGTATCCATGGCCGAGGACAGACTCTGTAAAAGAGTAAAGACGTCCGCTTGCAACCTTAAAAACACTAATTCAAAAAGCGTACTGAAGTATGGCTTCTTGTTTGCCTCATGTACGTTATGAATTCAACCGGAATTCCATCTAAGTTAATTAGGTGGCTGTTAACCACAACATTACTGGTAAATTGATGATCCGAATCACTACTGGCTGCAACGCAATGGTTTTAATAATATAGCTAGGATGGAAAAAGGCGCGAGAGTCAACAAATAATTGCAGCCATTGGGACTAATTTACCGAATTGTCGTCGCATGTTTAATCCCGTGATTTTCGAGTCATAGTTCCGTCTTTCATATTTCGAAAACAAATCCCTTACAAAATTGGACACTTCAACAGATCCATTAGTCTGCATGTTAACAGTGACGTGTGTTTCATCGGGGTGGCCGGTTAATGAAGAAAAATCACATCTGACCATAGAGTACGGCACGCCTGTCTTGAATGTAATTGAGGCCCGCAGCTGAAATCGCGTAACAAATAATGACCTTTAATGGGTATTTGTTTTACAGTGTCCAGTCAGAACACATGTTAGCATGAATAGGTTAAAACTCCAAACATGAGGTCGCCAGGTGTCTCACAATGAAACATGAAACTTAGTTATTCAGAAAAGGCTCGTCTTCCTAGTTCGTTCTTACTTTGATGCACTTACTATGTTCCGTTTGAAAAACAATATTATACACGATTTTTACCTTTGTGCAAACATCTTTAAAATGTCGAGATGTTGGATTGTCTTCCAGTTCCATTTTACTTGTAAACGGTAACCGAATGCCATCCTTCATTAATATTCCTCTTATAATTATGACTGTTAGGAAAAGCAAAAATGTTCACATTCAAAATATGATCATTTCTTTAGGTAAAATTGCAGACAAGACTCAATTATTAAGGCCAGCAACTTTTACACTGGTTGTACTGCATAAAACTCAGGATGCCTTTTAGATTTTCCATGAAAGTTTAAAGCTGATAATATCTTAGACATGGCAGCGGAAATAGATAATTTACAATCAGCGATGGGTTTGCAACGACTAATTAAATATATCCATTTCACTAATAGAAACTAACCATCTTCACGCTCCGTTTGGCATGACACAATCGCAATTGCTGTTGGAACAAAGAGGTTGCAACCATGGAGATTACGTTAGGGAAGCTTTTGACACAGTTGTTTCTGTACTGAATTAATCCAGAATGCCGAAGTAGGTTGCCTATACCGCTGTACTTTTTCGCTAAATGGGTGTATTTTGCATATTATGCACTCGGATGTGCAGGAGGTTCATCTAGCATTGCAACTATTTCGGCAGTCAGAAATGCAACGATGTTGTTACACATCTAAGCACAGTGTGCCCAAGCTGTTAGACACAAGTACTTACTGCATTGAGCAGGTGGTTCTAGTAACAATTTGTGTTTGGTTGGAATAGTGGTGTATCAAGTGACTCAGTTAAACTTGGTCGAGGCATCAAATTTTCCTCCGCATTAATGCGTGTGACACCTTTCATGAGGTGCACAAAACCGAACCGGCTAAATTAACTGATTTGGCTTTTAAATGCTGATTAATTAGAGTAACTCAATACCTATACATGCGTCCACCTAGTGGAGATTACGAGTACGTTCTTCTCAAAGTTCCGCTCAAGTAATGATAAAATTAGCTACTGATAATTGAGACTAGCAACATGGTACATAGTAAATGGGATTAGATGATACTGGTGAATAACGTAGTTCCGTGGGGGACACTATCAATGAATAACCAGCTATGGAAGATAAATTGTACGGTCATGACGAGACGTACCTAGCAGTAGTAAACATATTGATGTGAACATCACAATGACTAGGTGACCAATCATTTTGAAGCGCATCTGATTTATATACTCGCCACATTGTTCTTTCCAGACAGTGGGCTTTTCTAGTTGGTGGATTTGTGTGTGGGATACACCAGGATTTGTTTTATTATCTGTTCACCGATTGGGTAGCTGATATTAACTATTTGTACATCCGCATGTGAAAAGTCAAATTGATTGACGATGGAGGCGTTGTGAAGCCTAGTGATGCTTAACGGAACATAAGGCTGTGTGCTCAACTATCAGGTTAGTACAAGTCAGCTGAACGATGATTGTCCTTCCGTAGGAGCTACACACACATTTGTCAAGTAATTGCAATTTCGGGAGCTGTGTGGACTGTGTTTAAGCATTGGCTGTGCGGAAGACCATGCTTCAGGTTAAGGAACATCCAATAAGTATTGTTACTATATATCGTGGCTAGCTCTCTACTGATGACTACTGTCCCCGCTTTTGAACGCGTTTTATCTAAAAGACGAAACCGAAGTGAAATTGGGATATAACAGTTCGATGGGAGAAATTGGAAGTGCATTTATTTGGTATATAGTATTATTAACTGACGATTTTTCTGCGTTGGAATCGACATTGAACAATGTACCAAGGCAATGAACTGCGAAAATTTACCAGACAAGATGTATGAATTTTTTAGCCTTGCTCTAGATAACCAGAAATGGAATGTGCTGAATTTTCATCTCGATATGCGTACCAAACCACGATTGTTCACTTTTCGCTGCCGTCAAATATGTTCACACAAACCAAGCATCCGATTCCACCCCGTGTGACACATTTGCCTGTCTTCGATTCAGTCCCGCATTAGCATCCACCATCTTATTGACACTTGCCCCAATAAAGCCACCCGGGGCCATAATGCATCCCTCTGTCTCTACGCTGTAACTCAAATTATTAAATGTGTGCAGTTGTGACAAATTATAGGCGCCTGTGTAATTTAGCTCGCAAGAAATGGGTTTTATATACTGTATGTATTCTTCAGGTACAGTGTATGTAAACTTACCACACACCTTGTAAAGGCACCGCTGTTTCGGTATACGGCAGTGTGATTGATTTGCTTCTTCATCACAATTGATATCCATTTGAAATCTAACGTATTCTAGTGCAGTGTTTGACTTGGCTTGATCCTGGATTTTTACGATTTTTACAATACCTAGGAATACATCTGCTAGAAGGGGAACATTTACATTTCAGCGCATACATAACATCAATACTTGAAAATAAGCCACGTTAAACCCCAGTGACGTGTTCTGCATCCGTAATACTGCAAGAAAATTCAGCATTATTCATTGCGAACATTATCATCAAAGTGGAGCATAAGTTGCTCTGATGCATCCTCGAAATTGCGAGGATCTAATAAATGAATTAGCCTTATCTGGAGGAGCAACAAAACATGATTACATAGAGGAAAAATGTATTGCTTAACCGGTTTCATAGGATAGTTACGGTGGGACTTGAAATTACATCAAATTTTAATTGGGTTTAAACCGGTGAGCTCATTGAGGTATACCTAGTATGAACTGTAAATCCATGCTGAATCCGTAAATAATGACAGTGAATGGGACGTTTGATAAAATCCTGTCTCCCTCTAGTTTACACATAGTGGTGAAAATCGTTAAAGGAACTCTGTGCTTTCGTAGCTAATTAAATCTTACTGAGTTTTGTGTTCATCCATGGAAAATTGGCCATTTAAGAAGGTGCAACGAAATAAGCACCCTGTCAACATTGGCTTTGAACACTTCCAGCGTGGGAGCACATATTAGAGTTTCCGTTAGGGCAATTCACTTTCTGCAAGAGCGTAGGGAATAAAACCGACGGCATTGCAAGCGGCTGCTGCTCTATCAGTTGGAGATGGTGGCCCCAAAAATCGTTCCAGCGACTGAGCGCTAGCAAGTAGTGACATCTCTGTTTGGGATCTCACAAAATCTGCTAAGTCATAATGAGATCTTCGTGCAATCGATTATATGCTCCGCCGAAGACCCGGAGTCGACGTAGCCTTTGTTTATGCGCCAATTTTACAGCCTCTTGTCATGCTTATTTGACCGGCATTGGGTTTTCTCCATGGCGGTTAGAGCACTTTTGAGCCATGGCTGCCAAACCTGTATTGCGTATTCCACATGTGACACCATGTATGGACCGTGTGGTTTTGGAAATATCAAAGGGTCATATAGTCCGAATAAATGAATCAGGAGGCTTACATTTTTGATTCAACTCTCTGACGCCTTTTCAGCCTGCTTCGAGTATCCAAGGTCGAGCTGGACCAGATCTCTCAGATCATGCTTGCTAGAAGAAGTCTGAAGCTGCTGTCTGTCGACTTTATAGCCATACACAAAGTGGGACCGTATGTGCAGCACCTGACATTGGTCCATATTGGCTGGAAGTAAATTTTGCTTTGACTACGCGTCGACCCTATCAAAATCAACTTGAAATACAGTGATGTCATTTAGTGGATGGATCGTTATTCACACCTATGTCTCATTAGCGTAAAGCAATCAGTTCGATTTTATGAGGCGTGTGTTATCGTAAAATGTTGTCAAGATAATCTAGGTCCTGTTACCGATTCTCATTGTACTACACATTCAAATCGGAGGTGATATGACAGGGATTCACGCGGACGTACTTCCACCAGCAGGTGCAGTAGAAAGCTTCTGATTCATCCAAGAGGATAACCAATATCAAATGTACGTAATTTCACGACCAACATTTTATGATCCAACCGGTTAAACGTATGTAAAATGTCCAGAATGAGTACTTCAACTCCTGCGCCAGAGGTTACTGCTTCAGTCCAGCTGGATGGTGTTGTTAGTAGATTTGTAGTGCACGATCGAGTAAGTCTGAAGCCGTGCTGTTCGGGTACAAGGTAGTTACATTCTCCCAAGTAGGCCGTTAGCGCCTCAATAAAATTAACTTCATGACATTCGAAGAAATCGATAGTAGGATTAAGGGACTGTATTTGGCTGGATTGTAAGGACTGTCTCTCTTGTAATTTAGATTAATCATCTAGCTTTAGCGCATGTAGGACACGTACATTTCATCAAAACAGTACTGGAAACATTGAGCCAAAGTCTTTGCTAAACTATTTCCTACTGCCGCTACAGATTACTTTTTATATTATTAGCTCCGGTAAATCCGTGCCTGCTCAAACTCACTAGGTATTTTAGTATAACTTCTGCTCTGAAGAAATAAATTGTTCTCAATATTAGTGTGATGGACCTTTGGATTATGTTGGTCCCGAATGCTTTCGCTGTATGGAACATCAGGAAATATACGCCTTCCACTGCTTTAGTCTGCATGCGGCATGCCAGAATCTCACCATCTTAACATCGTTTACTAATTCCCATGTTACAATTATTAGCCGGCGCTACCAAAAGGATTGAACGTTAGGTGCTTTTAGTGTGCGTTAGATTAGTTGGACAATGTTGAACTCCGATTTTGTCATGAAGGAAAACCATTTCCTTACGTCTTCTAGCTGTTTACCCTTTAAACGTTCAACTTGGACTTAGAAATGTTCGTATCAAGGCCGTATAGTTTCGCCCGGTCTTGGGTGATGTGAGAACCACGGTTATTGAGGTATTTAATGTCGACTTTGCAAGTTGAATCTGGTCCTCGATACGTTTTGCGACAGTGGGTGGAGCGGCTAGGCATGCTTCTATCCGTCGCGCTGAAGACTTAGGTCTTAGTTCCCAAGACGTGTAGTAATGTCAGGCAGGGTGAAGGCCTGACCTATTTTCTTGGTATTCATGCAGCAAATGTGGGAGGCGAATGTGGCGCAATATGCTCTAAAATCTCCTTGCGCGAAACAATTTTGGATTCAAACCGTGTTTCTTTTCGGCGACTTAGTTATTGTACTTTTATCTTAACTTTAGTACGATTTCACTACGAGACATGACCTGCACTTTAGCCAGAAGCTAAGTTAACCCGGCGTGTTCGATTTCTGTATGTTAATGCTACAACCCTTGAAAAACGTCGATTGGTACCGGTCGAAGCAGTTTGTAAATTTGAAAGCTTCGTTAACTTATTAGCACTAGTTTGAATGGCACAAAATGCTTCGTTTCTGGTTACCGGTCTGACCGATTACGGAGAAAAAATCCAAATTCACCGCAGTTGGGCCAATATATGAGAATGCCGAAATCCAGTAGCGAACGTCTAACAAATTTACACATATGGAAACTCAATAAAATTTAAATGCTGGTGAAGAAGTCAGGCATAGTAACCACATTTAACAGAGTAATTACGAAGATAAAGTGGCATTTAGCACATGTATTCAATACTCTGCGGCGTCCCTGTGTCCAAACATCTCATGGAAGAGTGGATGCGAAATTGGTAAATTTATATCTTCCTTTATAAAGGCACTTCTTTTCGAATGTCTAGCCAAGCAAACACAATGTTTGTTGAGCGATTTTCTAAAGCTGGGTATTGCAAACCTATATCCAGGCCCACTTTTCGGAAGACTTACTTCATTGCAAATTATTTGCAACTGGCATCTTGAACGACTGTTGCGGTTGTTAAAATTTTATTTTAATAAATATCGTTTCCAAATTTCAATGCATAGGTTTAGGTAGAATTTGCTTTAAACCGGAAACCCATGCTTTTTATTTCAAACTGCACATCTAGATATTTGGTTTTGGTTATTAGTTTGATATAAGTAAATCTTTTGAACTAAATCTGATTTAAATGACAAACCCATCTTTATGCATCTAATCATGTTGCTTTCAGTTTCATTTAACGACAATACGCATATTAGGTTGCATTTGAGGAAGATTTGTTGTTGTCTACCATAAATCTGCACTACACTTCTTCTACACACACAGTCTGTTTCCTACCTATTTTTAACAAAGTTGTTGTCTATTTTCCTCAAGTAATACTTCCACACAATACCGTATGTCGTATGGAATATAGATAATTCAGAAGCTACAAATTAGGTTCTGCAGTTGAGAAGACCGCAATTTTGCCTCTGAAGAATACGTACTTCGTGAGAG